CTCTTGCTTCTATCAGTCTTATTACTGCTTACTGATGATGATTATGTGAAAAAATAAATGAAAATTTGTTATCGAATAGCACATAATAAAAAAATATTAAAGAAAGTTTTTATGATTTTTGGCATTTCGGTACAAAAGAAGAATATGTGATGGTGTTTTGTGTTTTCTGTTTTGGTTTTTAAGGTTTGTTGATATTTGTGTTTATGTTTAGACATTAATTTCCTTGAAAGGGAAAGATTTCAACAAAAGTTGTTAAAAATTTTCTTAAAAATTATCAAAAATGTAAAAACGGCCTGCTAAAATTTCCAGTCTCGAATGACTTACATATCTCAAGTCAGGTATAAATTTTGGAAATATTGGTTCACCTGAATGCACATACAAACAGATTAAAATTATCTATTTCCCCTGTCGTGGACAACTACTTTTCGGCTGAAAATTCGATATATGAATTTTTTGGTGTCATCACATAACCTTCCTCATTCTTAATAAACTGTGATGCGATCAGCATAAAGCTGAAGTAATTTACTTCAAAAATAATATTGTATTTCTCCCTAGTTCGTTTTTCTGAACAAGAAACGAAAACTAAATAAATTTTTACCATACAAGTGTAATTTTTTATTGTCCTCATACAATTCAAATGGACATACACACACAGTACGCTATATTATATAAAAATTATGTAATTTCATAAGGATCATAAAGATAATTCCTGTTGAGGGATAATATAAAAATAAAATAGAATAAAAAACTGAAAGTAAAATCCAAGTTAGGGAAAAAGGATATAGAAATTGTACACTTGCGTTTTTTTATTTATTTATTTATTATATCTTCATCTCCTAGAAGGTTAGATCAGTTTATATATTTTTATTCTAAAGGTATGAAGATCTATTATAGAATCCCCAATGTATATCCCATGGCTAATATAAGATGATTTAGAAAACACATAATATGTATGATTATTCATAATCCTAATATTATGTCAATTTTATTCTTAGAAAATGGTTTTATTTTCATGTTGCTACTAAACGGATAATTTTCTTTTTTTCTTTTTGTAAATAATTCCCGTATTGTTAGCAATCTTTTTTGAAGTTTTATTGAAAAAATACAACAAAATTTTTTATTTTGATTAATTAAATATTTGTGAAGATATTTTGAAGGTATGGTTAGGATTAATTTTCTTTGGTAATAATATTAATTGGCGATATTTGAACTTTAGAATTTTGAAATGTGGCTCTTAGAAGAATTTATTTGTAATATTCAAAATTTCTGAATTTGTTGGGAGAATCCGTACTAATTTCCGAATCTGTAATTTGATTTTAATTCTGTTTGCATTAAAAGTTTTTAAGACACTCTTAACATATGCCAAAAAAAATCTAATATTCAAACTGAAATTTTAATGAAAGTCGTATTATATGTAAACACTGCTTGATATTAGACTTTGTCTGACGGCAAATAATAGAAATTACTCTATTCCCATCAGATTTACTGTCAGATTTTTAATATGTTAAATGGCGGCAATAACTTTTTTGTGGAAATTTTAAGTAGCAATTAAATTTTTTATATAGGCTATAATTTTTGCAGCGAATATTTAAATTTTAACTTAAAGCCTGACCTGCATTAGGTAATTTTACTATGACATGTAAATAGTTATCATACTTTGCCGGAAGTTTAATTTAGATTTGTGGTATAACGTAATATGATAGTTCATCTATATTTTACAATAAAGTTTTACCACGAAAATATTATGCCAAACCTTATGCTTATGCTGATGGTGAAAAGCGGAAAACTTTTTAGAAATTTTCGTGTCATTTTCATTATACAAAAAAAATTTGTATATTATTGTGCATAGCGAGTAAGTATGTTATAAATAACCTACATGTTCTTTAAAATATTGACAATTTTAAAATAAATTCTTTTCCTATTTGTGTTATTTACATACTATAGTTATACTCGTTGGGGTTAGAGGAAATAAGGAGAACAATGTAAATGTGTATATAATACAAGTAGAAAACATAAAAGAGAAGAAAATGTAATCAATTAACCTTGAAAACAATATTCGTGATAAGATGAAAACCGACGGGATTAATGTGACGCTATTCAATCATATATACAAATGTATTAAAAAATGTTGATTTATTCATTTGAGTGGAAAAGTAAATATTTACAAGGAAATTTTTTACATAATATTCAAAAGTAATTTTTAAGATATGCAAAGTAAATTTATTTTAAACACTATTTTAATTTGAATTATCAAAATTCTAGCATACTAATTTTAGGGAAAAGAGTGAAGGTATCCAATGCATTTTTATTATTTTAGAAATTCTTTTTTTGAAATGTTTGTACATATGCTTGATATATTAACGATTATTTTACATATTACGTATAGAATTTTTAGACTATAATAATGAAAAATTTTTTAAGTACAAAATTTTCGTTTTCTATGGTAAATTCCTAACATATTTTTACAATATAATTACTTTGGTTTATTTGATGAAAAGTCCGTGATGTCAAAAATCAAAAATACATTTTAAAAATCTTATAAATTATAGCTTTTAAATGCGTGAGGGGTTTTGTACGTTATCTTTGTGTTCCCATCTTGTTCCCGCAAAAAAATTTTTTTTATTCTCATAAAAAATTTTAAGATTTGTAATTTGTTTAAGTGTCATCCTTCCTGAATAATATTAATATTATTTTGAATAATTATTACTTGCCATAAAATATTGGTCTTATTGCAGTGTGAACAGGATTATTATAGTTAATTGGATTTCATATTAAATCAAATTTTGTGATTAAAATTGCGGTAATATTATAAAATTCCAGATTATATAAAACTTGATTAAATCCTATAAAATTTTCATTTAGAACCTAGTGCGTTTTGTAGCTTTCTATTAAAATCATATGGATAAAAATTTCTTAATATTACGGTTGATGTCACAGTTAATAATCCTACTTTAACAATCAGTATAATACGGTATCCCTTGATCCCCATTAATAAATCATATTTTTGCGTTTTGCGTTATTTTATACACATTGTTCAATATTCTTAAACAAAGGCAATTAATTTGGTGTAGATCATCATTTGACCACTTGAATTTTTGCCTCCTCTGAATACGATTATAATGTTTACTGCTTACTTAAATCTTTTAATACCAGTTTATTTGAATTTAATATCCTCTTTTCTATGTCGGTAAAAATTTGAATTTCTATAATAAATATTTTAATTTAATATTAAAAATTTCATTATTCTTAATTATTGAGGCAAAAATTAAAAATTTCTCTTATTTCTTACTCTTTTTTATACTCATTTCTTTTTTTAACAATATGCGTAAAATAAAGTAAACAATTCTTCTATGATAATGACATTGATTATGAAAATAATGATGATTTTTATAAAAAGGTCATGATAAGGCTATTTTATTGTATATACTTATATTTACTGCTAATAGACCTTGTATTGTGTTTGTATGTAATGAAAAAAGAAAATATTGAAATAATAAAAATCCTTTAATCCTTACATTTATTTATAACATCCGTTTGTTGATAATTTATTCCGGTTATTAGAATTTCAAATATATTATATATGTTTTGAGGAACGGTAACTGGGAGAATATTTAATCGTTCAAAGTCGGAAAAAAAGTATATAACATAAAAATATGGAAAAAAAATCAATATAATATATAAGTAAAAAATGAAAATATCAAAAAGGATTTATAGCATTGAATAGGAAAATTATTGGAAATTATTGGAGAGTAGTGTTGATCATTTCAATGAATTTGAATCAAAAAGAGAATTATTGTATTATGTAGGAAATTATCGTATGGGAAAATGAGGGAAAAAATTGAGAATCATATAATATAATTATTTTGTTAATTAATATATACATAGAAAAAAAATATGTGTGTATATTTTCATTGTATTGTGTTTTTGGATTAAATTATTATTTCATGTATCATAAAGGATATTTTTAAAATATACAGTGAATTACAAACAGTTTATGAATACATTAGTGTTAAGCCACAATTGCATATTTTGGGATCAATAAGGTTTCAAGCTACTTTTCGAATTTATCAAAATGCTAAATTTTAATAGGGGAGTTGAGTATTAATGATTTAGAATTGATATGGTCAATAGTGTAACAAGGAAGTATTTTCAGAATTAACCAAGAAACGATCTCGTCCATAAAATTAACGTCTAATTATGTTAAATTTAGAATATCGGATGCACTTTTTTAAAAAATCGAAAATTGTATTTTCAGTACTCAAAAATAGGGGCATCTAAAACGCGGGCTGCGTGCTAAATTTAATTGACAAGTGTGATCAATCCGGTTACAGTAAATTGTTAAACGCAGTTATAAGATTATTAGAATTGTGAACACAAAAAGTAAATTAGAATAAATCTGTTGATAAGGTCTAATTGAAATTTACGAAACCAAATAAGTTTGACTCTAAAACTGTAAAGTTTGGATACCCCTGTTCTAGATTCAAATTTTGTATGTATGAAAAATAAATTAGTGATGAATGCTATTTAATGTTTGCCGAATTGAATTTCATTGTTTGAATTTTTATTTTTTTTTATATTGTTGTACTGCACTGTTCATTCGTCAGTGGTGGCTGTGGTTGTGGAGTTTTAGCTATATTGAATCTTTATATTATAATAATTCATTTTTGTTTCTTTTTTTTTTGGTAATGATTGAAACCTTTTGGGTATTTAATAAAAATTAACCGTTATTATTTTTATATTAAATATTATAGTTAACAGGAATATTAATGCGTTCTAAATTGCTTTTGAGCTTAGAAAAAAATTTAACATTTAAAATATGGTTATTATTATAATTGATTGATGATATTTTATCGATTAATTGAATGGTTTGGTAATTTTAATTTTTTGTTTTCGGTAATCTCGGCAATTTTAGTTAAATTTTGTTTTTGTGAAGTTTAATGTTGTGTAGTGCTCAAACAAAATTTTATTTTACTTGTAAAGATATTATTAAATTTACTTACCTTCCCTTAAACCAATTGAAATTTCATTTTTTTGTGGAATATACTAGATTGTATTTTGAATTAATTTATGGTGAGAAAACGCGTAAACTTCGTAAAAGAGTTGTTAGTACACCAGCTAAACATTCAGCTTGCAAAGCCAATTGCCCTGCTCCAAGAAGACCAATTTGAACTCCAGCTAATTCACGAAAACTAGATGCTACATCGTGTACTTTAAGTACTATATTACGAGTTTGTAGTGGTGATGATGTATGTCGAGTCATGTCTTGCGTTAACTCTGTTATTCTTCGAATTGCAGTTAAACATGATGTTAAATGTTCTGGTAATGATGATAGTGAAGGATCAGACATAGCAACTACTAGTAATTTGCTAGCTGTAACTAAATTTAATGTTTGTTCGGTTAATTCTTCACGAGCTTTTTCAAATTTTTGCTCATCAATATTGGCTCCGCCACCAGCCGATTGAGCTGCTGTACATTGAGCAGCCACATGATCTAGTCTTACTAAAAGACCAGCCATTGCAATATCAGTTTTAGCTAATAATGCTTCACCGTTCACAACGTATCCGTTACGAGTTATTGTCGAAGTTTGATATTGTTCAGTAACACCAGACGCACATAGATTATTATTTTCATTAGATTGTAATTTACGTGACATTTGCGGTGAGCACAGTAAAGATAATTGCGGTTTATTATCCGAACTGGGATTTTTTAAGCAAACTGGTGGGCAATCGCTGTTTGATCGATGATGACCATTTGAACGGGGCTGTGGTGTTGGTGACATGCTACTCAAACTAGTTGTTGGTGAACTAGATGTTGGTGATGTGCAATGATCTCGATAAGCGCTGAGATTACGATGCAAATGTGGTGAGCCAATTCCAACGATTTTTATTGGAGAACTGATATTTGCTAAATTTGGTTTTGGTAATGGTTGTGGGTTTCTTAAAATGGGCTTAACAGCAATTGGTGGAAGAGGAGGTTTTTTAGGTGGAATTCCAAGTGGGGACATTGTTGGTGATGCTGAAGATGATGATGGCGGAGAAGCAAAACCGCCATCTATTCTGGGGGGTATAATCGGTGGTGGGGTTTGTGAAATAATAGGTTCGATTCGCTTCAAATCAGGGCTAAAAGTTATTCGTTTTACTGGGGAATTTGATATTTTACTGTGTAGATCAGTGTTTTTAGGGGGTCTAGCTGGTGGGCTATAATTGGTTTGATGCGGACATCTTCTTGGTGGTAAAGAAAATTTACTATCATCATTTTGATCCGAGTTAGTTTTTGAACCTGGATAATCCGTACTAGAACTGCAATTGGATGTTGATGTTGAACTATCAGATGGCGTTTGTAATTGTTCTTCCTCTTTTTTGGATTTTGTGCAACAGGAAAATGCGCCTTTACGTTCAACAGTAGAATACTCAATAACATGATTGGAATTTCCATTTTCTTTTAAAGCTTTTATATTATTTGTTTGACCATTTATAATTTGATTTGAATTAATATTATTGGAATTACTATAAAGACTTTCTTTGGAATATTTGTTTTGATTATAATTACTATAATAACTATTATTAATATTTTTATCGCTAACTACTTGAGAGTTTTTTGTCTTAACCAAAAATTCAGGGCTTCCATTATTAAGATTTAGTTCTAAACTTTTTCGTTTCTCAAGTTCTTCTAAATTCGGTGGTGGTGGTATTATAAAAGACATTATTTCTTCTGGTGTAAGTTCTTTAGCTGGAGTTGCTTTTTGTGTAGGCGGTGCAACAATGACTTTAGCTAAGAATTGGTCCAAGTCACCTTCATCTTCCGATTTATTTCCCGCATCTCCAAATCCTTTTGGCGCATTATTTAATATGGTAAAAGCTGAATCTAATTCGTCTGGGGTTTGCGGTGGTGGTATTGCTCGCAAATCAATTAAATCAGGATCAGTCTCAATAAACGTATCTTCACTGATATCGAATCCATAAAGTTCAGATAATTTTTTCGCAGCTAAATCTGTGTGATCCATTTCTTTTACATCAGCTTTAGAAAATTCTTTCAATTGCCTTAAGTAGTCTCGTAGATTACTGTCTTTTGAATCTAAAACTGAACTATCAGGGCTGTGTAGACCAAAACTAGTCCGGATTTGATTCATTTTCTTATGACCACCGTTTTGTTGTTGATTAGGTGTTGTTGGTCCAAAAGCAACATTACGTTTTATAATTGTCGGTGATTGACTTGGTGTATGTACCGATTCTGAATCCGATTCAGATTGTGAGCAATCGTTACCGAGCGATTGCAATTCACTAAGAAGTTGACTTAATCCATTTATTTTTCGTGTTGGTTTTGGTGTCACCTTTGGTGATTGAGGATTAGCACTACCATTATTTATTTGGCTATTTAATTTATTTTTATTATTATTGTTCGTATTCGTAAAATCGTTATTAGCACCACCGTTACTATTTGTCGTATTTGTATTATTACTTCCTAAACCACCGATGGAATTCAATCCTTTTGTTATTCCAGTTAAATCTTGATTAATTGCCTCAGCTAACAATATTAAAGAATCACTATGTTTCAACGCCCCTGGTGGTGGAGCATCTTCATTTGATGAAACTTTACTGCTGTTTAAACTTTCACAATCGCTATCCAATTCTAATGATGTACTATTCCATGGTTGCCTTAAACTACTATTTTTAATTTCATATTCATGTATCAATTCTCCGTGTTCATTTAAATATTGTTCGGAGCTTTCAACCATTTTTTGCATTTCTTGTACTCGTCTTAAAACTTCTTCGTTTTTAGCCTCAACATAACCATTTGTAGTTCTAGAACTCATACTATAACTATTGGTACTGCTACTTGCACTACTACTACCACCACCGCCACTTGTACAATCTTTTGCTGCCTCCTCTAAGAGTTCCATTGCCATAACGCTATGTAAATCTAATCCAAAATCATCTGAAATTAACATTCTATTTTCAACGGCAGAAAACTGACTTGGATTAGTTGGTATAATATGCGCACTATTATTTATAGTACTTGTTCCAATATCTATTTTAGGTAATAGATTATTTTGCTGTTGCTGTAGCTCTTGCTGATGATTATTATTGGGAATTTTTGCTGTATTCATATTACGATCACAATGATTAATCATACTACTTATGATACTTTCATCTTTTGTTGCAGATATTTCCTGTAGTGAATGATATGGTGGTGGTACTAAAAAGCTAACATTATGTGCACGGTTATGGAATGGTAATACATAACTCCATTTAGCTGGAAAAACTGTATGTTGTGATAAATAGGCTGGTGCATTATCATCTTCATATTTTTCTCGTTCCCGATCAACATGAAGATCTTTTCCACCTAAATGAGGATGAAAAAGAAAATTAAATTTTTTTTATAGCAAGTGAATAAATGGAGCTGTAAGAAAAGAATCATATAAGAAATGAGTATATAAAGATCTGTAGCATTACTGAGCGTGATATATTTAATTGAATTCATTTCAAGTGAGGTGCTTACCTGTCAATAATTTGTAATAACCAGCTAATACAAGTGAAAATTCACAAGCATCACGATCTTCCATTGAAAATTTAATCATTCGATCTTCTGCCATTTGAACATGTACAGTACAAGTTATATCATCCTCACGATGAACTACAACTCTTAGTAGTTCTTCAATAGTACAGATAGGTTGTGGCTGCAAATAATAAGGATTTATCAATAAGTACGAATTTGAATGTTCAGCTGCAAGCATAATGCTTTATTGATTTTCATTAAAATCAGATATTTTATTAGGATATAAAACTATATTATTTGTATCTAGAAGTCCATTGTTCAATGTTACGAGTATATTATCTAAGTAACTTTGATAACACAAATTATCACTATTAAAATCAAAATCCTTTGCTTGTATTCTCTATAATAATATTAATATCGTTCTACTTTTCATGCTCTTATATTTTTTTTTTTGGTTAATTGAAGCTAAATTGATCGATTTTTTTTCCGTGTCTCTTTTTGAAATTCAATTCAAGTTGTTAAGTCATTTAGTATTAAATGTGTTAGTCAAGTAGAAAGTATGTTCCCTCTTGTTACATGTTAAGCATGAGTAGAACATCATTATTGAAAAAATTAAATATCAAAAAGAAGTTTTAAAAGCATTTATAGAGAGTAATGTAATGAAATGTTCTATGACCATTCGGTAATTGAAGATTTTGAGATTAAATACAGAATCATTAAAAGGAAATGGTATAAATGTCGCAGTGTATAACTAGTAGAACAGCTACGAGTATATTATGTATATTATACCTTATGTGACTAAATATAGATTACATACAATAGCAAAGTAAGCATATGCGAATAAATTAAAAGTCATTTCAGTGAAACTATTTGACTGGAAAAAAATCGATATTATTATTAAATGACTTTGTACAATATCGTAGGGTAGAATTTTTATAAAAATAAAATATTTTTTCCGATATAATTTTATTTGTCAGTTTTTTAGAATCGCCCGAAGTGTTTAAACAACTATTAATAAAATTATTTACATTTTTAAAATTTTGTATTCTGCACTTCAGTTGACGACAAAAATTTCCTTATAATTTCAATATTCATCTCTTTGTATCTTTATGGTTAATGACAGGGAAGGTTAATTATATAAAAGTTTTCACCAATATTTGTACTTGCATAATTCATTTGTACATAATATATTAAGTTACATTTGTATATAGACGATTGTCATACATAATATTTAATATTTTTATGATGAGAAAAGAGAGACAAAGTAAAAAAAATAATTAATTATTTTCAATACTTACCACAGAATTACGAACACCAGCAATTTGACTTAAACCAAATCTGGGGCTAATTAATAATACACGTTCCATGCCCTCTCTTTGACTTGTACTAAAACATTTTGCACCATAGCTTGGTAATCCAGAAATGATGTCAAGATAATGAATTTTCGCCTGCAAATAATCAATTTCAATTAATCATTTCCGTTATTCCGTTATTTTCATTATTGTACTGTTATTTATTTATTTTTTTTGTTGTTTTATTATTTGATCTAAATAAAAGCTGTCATTGTTAAATTCACATTTTTGTTTTCTTTCATTTCATGGTTAAGTAACTGTGTGGTGGCATGAATAGAACAAAGCAGAAAAAAAAAGCAAAACAAAAAGGAAAGAGGATAATCGTGGATATGTGTATGAGTACGCATATTTTATGCGTTCTTTTTTCTTTGGAGCTAAATGAAATGTATAAATTACAAATAATTATACATAATATGTTATTGAATAGCATATAGCTACACACATATAAACAATAACAATATATAAGTATTTTATAAAGGATACAAACTGGATGGAGACAAAGAATTAAGAATAATTATTATATTAAAATAAAATAGAATGTGAATTAATTGGATTGTTTGATAAATATCCGGATATGTACACAATATGTGTATGTGTTCATGTATTCGATACACATATGTTAAGAATTGAACCAGAAAAAATATGAGTAAATAGCAGAATATAAAGTTCCCAACAAAGAATCAAAGTTATAATTACTTTTAAAATTTGTTTGAGTTTAAGGGTATTTTACTTTAAAAGTATAAGAGCATTATATTTTTGAAATTTATCTTTGGTCCAAAATTTTTTTAGAGCAAGCGAGCGAAATCCGTTGACACTTTAAAGAATTTTTGCTAGTGATATAAGAAAATTTAACACAGGCTGAATCCGCGGGCTTGAGGTCGAATATGCGTATTTTGAGCTTGAAAAATAGAATATACCACAAAGTCAGGTTATGTTTATTACAGACCGCATTGGATACAATAGGGGAACCGTGTTAAATTATGTTATGATACCTAATTTAGCATACCGAGTTTTCGGTGGAAACACACTTTCCCAGAGTAGCGGAGCGAGCGTAAGTAAATACACTATTTTTAGAGAGATGTCTGTCGGTAAGTTGATCTGTCTGTGTAAGTGTGTTGGCCTGTCTGTCTGTCAAGTTTGGCTTAACCGATTTTGATGAAATTTTATACGCGAGTTTATGTCACGAATCATTTTGCAGCCCGATTTTATATTTTTGCGAATATAAGGAGAAATAATCGAGCAATTTTATTCGGAGTGTTAAAACGAAGTCATAAATTTTTGGAAAGATCAGTCGTAAGTCATTAAACTTTCTATAATTAAATTTCTATAATGAATAATTCGTATAAGATTATTGTATATTTCAATTTCTTCAAAAATAGATTATCTCCCGCTTATTATTAATGGTGGTTATGTCTTTAATTTTACAATTTAAATAACACAAACTAAATAAATTTTAAATGCAAATTTTCGATTTAATTAATTCAACTCTAACCGGTAAAATAGAAATTAAATTTGAATTTAGTTAAAAATATTGAAATTATTTGCAAAATATTTACTAAAATATTTTGCTAAAAATAAAACAAATAAAATATTTCTAATTATTTTGTTAAACCTTGTATTTGTATGTGTGCTTTTATGAAAATATTTTAATGAATTACCAAAAATTTTATTTATAAACGAAATTTATAAATATTGATAGAATTTTTCAAAAAACAAATTTAATGAATAACCATTCTTTTATGCACATATACACCTATATATGTATTTTGTGTAGGTATAATATATTGAACGCCTTGGTATTTAACAAATACACCAAAATAAAAATCAGCAATTCAAATGTACAATACAAATAAAGAAAATGTAATTAACAAAATGTATTTATACATGAAATTCTAATTTCGGGAACAAAAACAAGAGAACAAAAAAAAAAAATTTAATGTATTCATGTAATTTATAAATTTTGGGTTAAACTGTCAGCAATGGTCCGGTTAATGTGATAATTATCAGTTTTTCACAATGCCTTTTGTCAGACACAATAATTTTTTTTTCTACATTTTTGTTCTACATTTATTTATTTTTGTTTTTTTTAACAGTTTAATAGTCCAAATAATTAATTTTCATTTTGTATAATATATTTTTCTCTCTTTTTCAAGTTTGCCCTTTAGGTGGTAAATTTTCGAGGATATTATTAACATGGCAGTTACATAGTATTTTTAATTTTCTGTATAGTACAGCATAAATGTTGTATTGTACTAGTTGTAGTATGATCGTGTATGACTGTAATTGTGGTTTGTTGTTTAAATTGGTTTATTGTTTTGTTATCGATTAAAATCATATTAAAAAAATTGAAAAAGGACGAAAGAAAGAAAATGTTTATAATTTAATCAAAAATATGACAATTATTGGAAAATTTTAAATTTGAATTTTGATTGCTAGAAAAATAAATTATTAAAATTTAATTAAACAAATTTTTTAAATATTTGTGTTCGATGAGTTGGAGTCTACACATTACTTCATTAAATTTTTTGCATTATTTCTTGAAAATTACGTGTTTAGCAACTAAGAGTTAATATTATTTATGGGTTGTTTTGTGTTAGGAAAAATTCACTTATATTTGAGTAACAAGAGAATTAAGTTGAAATTGTGAAAAATTCACAAAATTTTTGGCAATTGTCGAAATTAAACTAAATAGAAAATTATGTTTAGAAGAATTTTTAGAATAAAATTAAGTAATTCAAAAATTGGTATATGGAGTTTTTGCTTTAGTAACCACAGAAATATAAACTTATTTTAATAATTATTCTAAAAGTTAAATATTTTGTGTTGAACTGTTAGTTTGGCTTACACCACTGTATATAATATAGTGTACTCGTACATCATCTATTTTACTCATTGAAAAAATTAGCGTCTGTTTGTTTTTATATTAATGTTTAAATTTAAGTGAAAAACTAAATGTACTAAATGTAATAAAGTCATTTCATCATTAAATTTGTTCTATTAAACTGGAATATATTTATAATGTTTATGTAATAATTGCAAAATAAATCCTTTAGGAGAAAAATCTAGAACGAAAATCGTAATCAATTTTTCTATTTTCTAAATTGTAAACGAGTTCAGATTCAATTTTTAATATAGTTACAAAATTATTAAGAAATCATTCCTATTTCATATATTATATTGGTTATGTTCAGTCGGAGTGTATGAAGCAAGTGATGTTCAATGTAATAACAGAAAATTTGAATATTCAATATGTAAATATTATTGTTAAAAATTAAAATTCAAGATTAATAGCATATCATTTCTTTTTACAAATTCATAAAAGGTATAAGATCAACTAATTAACAACTTTATAATATCCCTTTTTTATACATATACATACCTGTAGTTGGGTTAACATTTTTGATGATGATCCTGTCATCTGTGAATTTAATTTTAAGAAATGTGATATTAGACGCCTTAATTCTTTACGCTTCATTCCTTCTACTAAAGATGAAGGCACAAAACGTTCTAAACCAAATTCACGCCTGCAAAACAAAAAAAAAATATTTAATTTTAAAATTTAATTTACCATATCATCATAAATGATTAAAATTTTATATAGTAAGCAACTATTATAATATTTCAACAAGTTTAAGAAGCTTAAAAATAAAAAAAATATAAAACATAAGAGAAAATGAAAAAGCTGTCAAGAAATGATTATCCTTTTTTAAAAAGGATTCAAAAAAATATAAGAACAGAACCCTTTTGTTTAATTATTGTATTCTTCCTTTTTTTTACAAAACATTCTAAAATGAAAGGCACAAATAAAAAATGAAATAAAAAAAATTCACGCAATCTCTTTAAATTAAATGATTGCTCATCCTCTAGAGAGGGGTAATGAAACTACATAATATAATATTTAATTAACCTGATAAATTAAACACATATATTATGTGTAAAATATAATGTAGGACATGTATTTTACATACATACATGTAATTATATATTTTTCACTTTTATATTTACATATTTTCTGAAATATCAAAGATTTCAAATCCTCTCTCATCTCAACATAAAAGAAGATTATATTTTTAAAATATTACAAATATTAATGGAAAAAAATTAAACACTTACTCTACTATTTTAACAGTTAATTTTGCTGGTGAAACATTATTTGCTAATGCATGTTGATGTATATGTAATGCAGCTAATCTTAATGCTACTTCTGGTTGTAATTCTGGTGCAAAACGTTCTTGTGTAACATCATTACAACATTGCATATATAAATAATCTAAAGCATTTAAATCTTTTTGAGCTAATTCAGCAGCTGAAACTGGAACAAAGGTAACACGAAAAAGGCAACGTAATTTATGAGCTCCAGGACGTGCCGCTATCTAAAAATAGAAATAACAATAATAATAATAAACAATTAAGAAGGAAAAAAAACCAAATTTTTAATTATTTTTATAAAATTTCAAAAAATTGCATATATTTAGGATAATAAATATACTAAATATAAAATGTTACCCTAAATGTATGCAATTTTTTTTTTAAATATAAATATTGTATTTTTATGGCAATGTGGGAACAGTTTCTGTTTCCATTAACTATTTTAACATATTAATAGCTTTTGCAACAATTATTATAAACTATATTATTATTGTTATACAAAAACTTATTTTGTTATTAAATGACTGTAATTGCTATGCAAAATTTAAAATAATAATAATATATTGTTATAATTACTGTATTTTATAATATAATGCTAGTAGATTAATGTTATTTAAATACGTAAATTATTATTTTTTTTTTAACATTTAAAATGTAAAATGTTTGTAATGGGTGAATGATAATTTGTAAATGCTTTTAAACTACTTGTTGCATGTTGTTAGTACAATAGGGTATTTAAGGATAGAATAATAGTTATACGATAACATTGAATAACGTTGAATATACAAAAGAATTAAATTGTAATTAAAATGTCATTTTGCATAATGCAAAAATTAATCTTTGATGATTTTGACATTCAAAAAAAGGAAAAAATATAAAAAAGGCAGAATAAATTTATAATTATATTTTTGATTTAAATTTTTTGGTTTTTTGGTAAATTCTGCTGGTAAATTTAAATATGAGTAGTTCTGTTAGCTTTAGTAGTAAAATCGTAATACGACACCAACTCAGTTGTAAGTAAAACAGTTGAAGCTGATAAAATATCGCGTATAGCGTAAAATCTCACGAACAATATTGTTTGATAATTCGAATCACACTATTATATCCGGTCTTGTATGAGAAAATCGACTGCATAGTTAGTTACAGAATTACATTGAAAGCCAAGATTAGGATTACGATATTATTTTAATTTTTTCATTTTATCGATCAATATTATCGCTATTATATAATCCCTCTTAGATAACCCTCTAAAACATAAAAATTTACATTCAATAGATTTTTCTGTACATTTATTATTATAAATATAGATTTACTGTGACTACTTTTACTTTAAATTTGCTCACAAATACACAGAGCAGTAAATTTGGTTTTTTTTTCTAAAAGTTTTACAGGTTGGTCGTAATGAGGAAAAGAAAAAGTCGCAAACTTACTGAAGTTTTAAATATTTTAAAAATAAATTTTTTTACTAAATTTTTCTTTATTTTTCTTTGGTATCTTTGGTTTCTTTGTCACTACCTCGAATAGAGAAGGAAACCTGGTATAATAATATACTTATGTAGGTACTTGGAAATAATGTATCTTGTATATAAATTTTTATTTATAAAACATCTTTGTGATATCTATATATGTAAAAGGTGTTTGGTAAGAAAACCATTTTTTATTACAAGTTATTTTAATTTTTCAGTCGGTTTCTATACTTGAGCACTTCAATGAATTCTTTTTATAAAATTTCATTTCTTTGGTTATTCTTTTGCTAGCTATAAGTGCACATTAAGTTTTTTAAATATTTATTTCCGAATATTTTATAAATAATGCTGGAAATTGTTGAACGATTTGCATTAAGGATAATGCAAAAAATATTTAAAAAAAATAACAAAAAAGTTGAAGACCTCATACTAAGGTGAATAATAAAATTATTTTTTTTTTCTTGGTTAATTAATTAAAATTTTAAATGTGGTGTGTATTTTGTTTTTATATACTTTAGGAACAGTATTAAATCTATATAACATTTAAGATTTAATTAGAAATTAATTCAATTTATAATAAAAAATTTTATAAATAAAAAATACTTACCCTTGCTAGGGTTTCATCTGGATCTAATAATGTTAATTTATTTCTTTTAAGACTTTTAACATGCTCTAGAACAAGGCTAAAATGTTCACTGGCAGTTAGGCACAGTTTGTCACGCAATGAAGTAACAACATCCTGAAAATATTAAATAGAATGGAAAAATTTAAAAAAATTGTTTTTAAATATATACGAATGTATGTATTGTAAACTTACGTGAACTGTTGTTGTTGCATCATATTTAAATGACTTGGTTTGACCATTTTCTAGGAACACTTTCAATACATTTGCCATTGGCGGAACACATAAATCACCTAATGAAAATGCTGATGGCTATAAAATTTACAAAAAGAAAATATAATTAGTAAAATCAGTTTTTAGATAAATAAATTAAATTGCATTTTTTTTTTAGAATGATTTGATTTGTTTTCATAAGGATTATAAGCGTTTTTAATTTAATTAAAATTGTCTTTGAATATTCCTCCCATTTTCTGGAATTTTCGGCATATTATACAGTGTGCCTCGTGTCAAAGTGCACTGCTCTATGCTATAAGTAGTGGTATAGATTTGTAGATTTGTAGATTTGTACAACGTGGGCAACAGTGCACCCCGACCACGTATAAGGATCTATTAGGCGCCTCCATCTGAGTGCGGTGCATGCCCTACAAGACACGCTCGAGACCCACCCTCCTGATGAACTCAAGCAACTTGTGAGGACCAGAACACCGCAACTCCGCCACCGTTAAAGCAAAGCCCCACAGCACCTCCCCCCCTCCTATGAGCAAGTAGTGGTATAAGTAGTGGAGTAATAGTGAGATATTTGTTGCCTAATTCTTGCGAATATTTGGTAGTTTTAACAAAAAATTAGTTTCTATATAGCAAAATAGTTTAATGAAATTAGAAATACCTATATGAAGTCTACTAAAACTTCAATATTTTTCTGCGTATATTCATTAAAGATATTAGTAGGTTTAGACTGAAAATTTTCTAATTGTTTTACTTAAGAAGCTAGTGAAATGCCGAGAAATATCATATTATTTAAATTTTATTATGTCACGCCAAAGATCCTATAAAGTGAATGAATTTAAATCTGTTATACAATATACGAATTGAAGTTCTTTATTTATTTGAGTGTAACTTAGGTGAAAATCATAATATGTAGTAGTAATTAATAGTCAAAAAAGTATGTCTAAGTAATTTTATATAGTTCGTTTCATACAAAATATTTTATAAACAGTTGATAACATTGAAAATATTTTAATGAAAGAAATTCATATATATTGTTATACATATACATATAAATATAATATTAACTTGAAAACTTAGCAAAAATCAGTCACCTACATACCATTTTTATATTAATAATTATAATATTGAAGATTTCTAGAGAAAATAAAAACAAGAATTTTTAATTAAAATATTCTATATAATTAGAAATATTTCTCTATATGTTTTATATATATATATATATTTGTGCCCATATGGCCTCATTTCATTCAACCTGTTTTTTTTTTCAAATCTAACATAAAATTATTTAGGATAAAATATCCTTTAAAATATCATAATTATTATTTTACTTATCATCAGTTGAATTATTTTGTTATATAAATGTGATAGATGAAGTAAAACTCATGTACACACACATTCTATGTATAAAATAGAATCATATTTTGTATACGTATATAGAATAGTTGATTGATCTTCTTAAAAATGTCATATTATCGTAACATATGGAACGAATATAGAATAATAAGTTTTTCCCATGAAATCATATAAGGATATAAAATAATATAAAATAATATTGTGTTAAAATAATAATATAAAGGGATGTAAGAAAAATAATAATAATAATATTAATAAATAAATTTTATATACCTGTATACATACTATGTGTATATTATTAAAAGGAATCTAGATTAGTAATTTTTCTATAGGGTATAATTAGAGTATATGGGCATGATAAAATATGATTAAAATTGTTTTCTTTTCATATACTTCAATTTATATAGAAAAAAAAAATTCAAATTCAATTCCATAGAAAATGTTATTAAAAATGTAATCCCAATTTATTATGCGTTCGTCTGTATTTTCCGATTTCCTGTTGACTGACGGTATACTTATAAATATTTCTCGTAGTAAATTCAAATGAGTACCAGTTTATATTTGATTTTCACAACTATTCAACGCCAAAAAAAATTAAATGTTCTAGGTATTTTCGAAGTAATTGCTACCTATCTCTCTATACTATAAGTAGTGGAGTAATAGTGAGATATTTGTTGCCTTATTCTTGCGAATATAATAAAAATTAAATTCTAATGTGACGGCCGTATTATCGGCTTACTAACAAGCCAATTGCCTTTCAAGTGAAATTTTCGCAAAGTGAAGGCTGGCCTTAGAAAGACAATCTGCATTAGTATGTTCGAAAATAACATGATGGTTGCAACGTGGTGGTAGCAAAACGGCACGTTTTGGCAATTTGGATGCGGAATAACTGTTGCGTCAACTAACCAACAACCGTTTATGTATAAAAAATCGTTAAGCAAATAACAAGAGATTGTATGAAGGAATGTGGTATCTCTTCAAATTTTGGATTCGTATGGATATAACAGACTTAACATGGTCAATAACCTATGCTCGTTTTCAAACAAACTTACTTTTTAAGTAAAGAACAGTTGAGCTTGTTTAGTCATGATCGCTCAGAAGTATTTGGAAGATGGGTATTTATAAAAGCTGTAAATTAAGGTATTGAAATATAAGGAAATTATATTTGCTATACAATCAAATATTACATAGAAATTTGCTTTTTTAAAAATTGTTTATTTAACAGCAACTTGTTAACAACTCTTATTAATTGTATATTAATGTACAGATATATAAAAAATTATAAGAAAATTTTCACATATTGAAGCTATAGAATCAAAGAATCATCAACCAAATGAAAATATTTTCATAATTATTATAAATTATAAAAAAAAAAACTTTTTACTCTTCTCCTAATTTTCTTAAGATTTATTAAGGCTTTTTAATTAATTAAGGAATTTATAATTGAAAAAATTATATATTTTTATGTCTATATAGAAAATTAAAAGTAATTATTCGATAAAAATGAGACCAAGTATGAATTTTAATCCTCAAACAGAAGGTTAACTGCTTTATTATTTTTAAAAATATAAAACCGAATTTAATTTCTTTCCGTATAATTTATTGCACGTGTTACATTGGATATAATTTTGTGTTTTTGTTTTTTTTGTGTGTGTATTTTGAAAAACAAAAATTAAGGAATGATTATAATTCCCTAAGGATATTGTTTAGAAAAAATACAAAAAGAACATGAAAAGAGAAAATCTTTTTCTAATTCTTCAGTGATCATCAGATTAAAAAAAAATTTTTTTTTCTGTAAATTTTTTGTTTTTATTCCTTTTAGTTAAATAAAATAAAAACGAAAATATTTTTACAATTTTCCAAAATCCTTTATCAAATTTTCATTTCACCAATACAATGTTAAAAGATAGAAATCTTTTTAAAAGACAAAAGAAAGAAGAAAAGGAAATAAGAGAGAAAAAGGACGAAATTTTATTTTTTCAAAAATATTTGAAAATTTTGTCCTTCAGAATCAAAAACTGACTCAAATAATTATGTATGTGTGTCCGTAATTATTTATGTGGTTCTGTATATATTGAATAAATAATTTACTGGTCATTATTATGTATGTATAGGTGTATGAATGCTTGAATAAAGACCGTTATTACTATCGTTAATCGTTTGTAAGCGTTTCTACTCGTATCTTCCAAAAAAAAGTATAAACAAAATTAAAAAGAAAGTTTTATTTTCTGAGTGATGAAAACAAGATGAGAGAACGGAATTGCTATTACAATGATAATGAAATTCATGCTCCTTTACTTAATTAATATTCAAAAATTGTTGTGTGTGTACTAATTTTGTTTATACAATTTGAAAATCAATTTAATTGAATGTTGAAATTAAAAATTTTAACAATATTTCATCAGTTCTGTTTTATTTTTTAATATTCAAAGGAGGCTTGAAATAATTATCAAAACTCATATTGAAACTTCAATTTTCCTTAATGTACTTGTGGTGGAGTGAAAATTTAACGAATATCAGGAAGATGACCAGAGATATCTTCAATTTCCGCTACAGGACGGGGTGGGGTCATTGGAACAGTACTTAAGGGAATATTAAGAGTATTCCACTCTGCAAAAAAATAGGGTTGGGGAGAATTTTCTGGAAATGTGGAGTGTACCAGGGATTCTGCCAGACTAAGTAGATTACTAACACTCACTTCCCAGGCGATATCGAATCGATTCCAAGGACTTCCGAGTTTGGTCGGCCAGTGGCTGACTCAGCCTCGTATGGGAAGAGAAGGGCTAGAGTCACTTGTCATTGGGTCTCTCGCCAGAGTGTCATACTTCTTCTACACGAGACGCTTGACGTTGGTTAGCATGCGGCTAGGCTAGGATTGCCCTTCAATACGACAAGTCGCAGTTGCTGGGAAATTGACAAGAAGGGGACTATTTTTGTTTTTATACCCGCGAATACATGAACAACCAGCCATACATTATGCAATATAAATTGATAAATACTGGTATTGTAGTAGATATTAAAAAAATTGCATATTTTTAGGGAGAATTTTAAAATTTGCAATATTAAGTATTGTAACATTTAAACCGTTTTTAAGTTAAAATAGATTTCAGTTTAGATTTAGATAAACAATAAGTAAAATGATAAATTTCATTCACAATAGAATAATTATTTATAAATTATATTTTGAATTTAACTGACTTCATTTTTTTTTTCAACGTCATAATTTAAATTTTTACTTTAATATTAAAAGAAGGAAGTATCTTTTATTTGTTTCGTTGTGATTTAATTTGACTGAAAACAATTTCTAAAAATGAAATGAATTTTTGTGTTTTATTATTATTCATTTAGTCCTCAGTTATTAAAGGACAAAAATGTGACACACTTTTTTTTTTTTACTGTAGTATTTAAAAATGTTAAACGTCTTTTAAACTGAATGTTTATGAAAGAAACTACAGAGAAAAAATAATGGAGTGTAGGTACACTTAAAAATAAAACAAAGACGTCATGAAGAAAAGTTTCTGTTCAATCACAAATAAATGAGAAAAACAGGAGGAAAAAATAACAACAACAATAATAATTGTGATGCGAAATGTTCTCTGAGGCAAGCAAATAATAATCATAATCTAAAAAATATTAACACAGAAAAATATTTAAAATATTTTTTTTGTCCTACTTCTGTCTGCCATCTTTCATCTCTATGCCATAACACTCACAAAATATTTCTTGTTCAG